ATTCTCTCCCCATCCCACTGCAGAGGACTGAGAATGCAGCTGGGTGGTGTTTAGTTGCTGGCTGAGGTTAAACCACAACAGCCCTTTTTGGCACCCAACGTGGGACTCAATGGGTTCAAGATAATGACAGGTTTGACTGGAATGTGCTAGATCAAATTTATAGCTGTTGTTGCTGTTCAGCTATTAATCAGCAGGCTTCTGCACTTGCTATGGAGCTTGCTTGCCTTACTGCATATTAGAGTCTAGTTCTCGTTAGTGGCTGCTTGCTGTACTGCTGCTGATCATCTTACTCTGCTCTGCCTGGGAACATTTTGATAACAGCAATGGCAATGCAGATGGCCAGGGCATTGCTGCTGTTTCTTTGCTGGACAGGCTGGAACTCCAGTGTGAACTTGAGTCAAAGGGATTGTGACCTGTGTCCAAGTCCGCATGAAAGCGGGACACCCTGAAGTGTTTGTGGCCATGGATAAGCCCGTGTCAAGGCAGGTACACCTCGAAGCACCTGTGGCCATGGTTATGTCTATGCCACAGCAGGTATACCTCTGACAGGATTGTGGCCCAAGGGTAAGTCCACACTGGAGATGGTGCACCTTGAAGTGACTGTGGCTGTGGATAAATCCAAGCTGGAGCAGGGGAAAGGGGAAGAGTTCATTGCAATGGGAAACACGATGGTCTGGTCCAACGGGGCCGGAGGCGGAGACTGTAATGGAAACACTTTGAAATTGTTGTAACCCGGGCTTCGAGTTGTGTGTTACGGGAATTACTATAGCAGGAACCCCTTGTTGCTAGCCAGGCTAAGAGCAAGGGGAGGAGTTTATTGCAATGTTAAATCATATAACCTGGGTTAAAGGGACAAAGGGTGGAGATTGTAATGGAAATAGCTTTAAATTGTTCTAACCCTTGATTTGAGTTGCACATTACAGGAATTACTATAGCAGGAACCACCTGAACCAATGGAGGACAAGCATGACAAGAAGCAGTTGCAAGTGCAGCAGTGACCCAACCTGAGCTGGCTTTGATGCCCAGTAACTCCAAAAAACACACCACCTCTCCTGTCCCAAGTAACCACCATAACAGATGGAGCCCAAAGTCATGGACTAAATGAGTTCAGTGGCTATCTCTGAACATTTTACAGGGGTGGTCAATAGACTAGGGGAATGATATCTGTGTATTACATCAAAGGATGGGAAACGGGGTGGTGGGTAATGAGACACCTGAGCATGACGTAAATTGTATGGAATAAGGGGTGAAGAATGTGCTGGTTTTAGCCGGGATAAAGTTACTTTTCTTCTTAAAAGCTGGTATGGGGGTATGTTTTGGATAACAGTATCAATAATACAAGGATGTTTTCTGAACCTATGAGTTTTCTCACTTTTACTCCTCCAATTCTTTCCCCCATCCCACTGGCGGGGAGTGAGCAAGCAGCTGTGTAGTGCTCAGTTGCTGCCTGGAGCTAAACCACAACAGGAGTATAAAGGGACTGTCACTTCCCTAGTCCTGCTGGCTACACTATTTCCGACACAAGACAGGATGCTCTTGGCCTTCTTAGCCACCTAGGCACACTGCTGGCTCATGTTCAGCCAGCTGTCAACCAGCACCCCCAGGTCCTTTTCTGCCGGGCAGCTCTCCAGCCACTCCTCCCCCAGCCTGTAGCGTTGCATGGGGTTGTTGTGACACAAGTGCAGGACCCAGCACTTGGCCTTATTAAACCTCATACAGTTGACCTCAGCCCATCGATCCAGCCTGTCCAGATCTCTCTGCAGAATCC